GCAAGGGAGGTGAGGGGGTGGGGGCAGAAAGAGGAGACGAAAGCAGACGACAGAATATTGCTAGAGAGCAGGAAATGAGGTGAAAGGAGACAATTTTAGAGAAAAAAAATTTTCGGTCGCTAACCGGATTCGAACCCGGGACCTTTGAATGAGAGGCCAGCACCTTAACCTCTAGGCCACGAGAGCCCCCTTACTCACCTGAATGCCATTTACTGGTGACAGATTATGTAATTGACAATTCCGATATATGATCTTAAATTGTTTTAACGCCCACTACAGATTCTGGAAGATGCTATGCTTTGTAATAGACAGCGAAAGACCTTGTCAGTATGTTAGTGTTTTAGCGTCAACAAATTTCAGCTTGCTCTGTATGCTTCTCAAGAAGTTGAGATTGTTTCAGAATGCTCTCAGGTCTGCTGGGGTAATAGTATAGATTGTGAAGCGCATAGAGCTTGCTGTTGAGCAGGGATTTTCGCTATACAAAATGTTTTCTGTTATTTATAATACCTGTGTGTTTTGCATTTAGAAGCAATGCTCCGCGGTGGGTGGTTGGCAGGTGCTCTGGTGTGGTTTGCTTCTTCTTTCCTATCAATCATTTATCGTCCTTATCTCTTTTTCTTTTTTGTGTTTGTTACTCTCTTGTAACAAATCTAATCTTCGGCACTTATATTAGGACTTTATTGTGTTGCAAATCCCGTAAAACTCTATACTAAAACTTAAACTAAAACAATGCTTCGGACGGGGATTATGGAACCGATACATTTCGATAGATATTTAGATCGATGTCTCACACCATAGTCCCCCCCCCAAAAAAAAAATTGTTTTTTAATTAAAAAAGGAAAGTAGGATTACGAAGTAATTCTTTTTTCTTTTTTGTCTTTTCAGCGACTTTGAGAAATTTTAACCAGCTCACGACATCGTGAGGAAAAAAACCTTTCACCAGAACAGACAACAACGACAACTGACGAAAGTAGACGACTTTGAGAAGGGAGAAACAGTAAACCAGTGCTGTATCACATTGTGCACTGTCGACAAAATGACGTGTCCAGACAATGTCACGTGACAGCTGCGAACCAATCAGCATTGACGTGACGTCATCCAGTGCCGACCAATAGGATGAGCTCTGAGACAGAGAGTGGATACCCCGAGGAAAATGGATGAATAAACATGGTGAGTTTGGACCTGTTTCTCCTCATAATACTCTCTACAGAAGACATATTTTCTTTTTTCAAACTACATGTACTTGTGTGGTGAAATAAGGCACTGGTCAGAATAATGAAAGTGAAGAAACTGGCATTTTTCCACAGGTTTTGGGAATTTTTATTGATTTTTTAAAATACAAATTTTTTGTCTCAACTCCGTTCATGCTCATACAGAAAAAGACATTTCTGTGTGGATTTTACTTTTTTTTTTTTTAATTGATTAAAGGCATAAAAGATGTAACTTTTCAGTTTCCGCGGACTCTCAAGCTTAGGAAATAACGCGATTTTGGCGGGGTCATTTTCTCGCTAACTTCATCTCTTAAACCAGGCGACCCCACCTACTTCAATTGCCAATATCTTCACACGTATCCAAGATAAACGGATAGGTTGTCAATCAAAAGCAAGGCAAATGGAGAGAATTTAAGATGATACCAATTACTCCACATCCCCGAAAATTGACGAGGGCCTGATTCCACCGCATCGTCACTCTTATCTTTTCCTCTATTAGGGCCACTTTTGACTTCCCACTCCTCTAAACGTTATCGTTCATTATCTATCTATCTATCTATCTATCTATCTATCTATCTATCTATCTATCTATCTATACGTATGTCTGTGTGTATGTGTCAGTTGTTTGTTTGTTTGTTTGTTTGTCTTGTGTGGGTATATATGTGTCTCTCTTAACAAGACGAAAATAATCTACTGATCTGAAACTCAAGCACAATTGGTTGCTCTTAAGCACAATGGGGCTATTCCGTAAAGTGCGGTTTAGAGAAAATCGAAAGTAAAGTTTTTTGTCCCATGTTCAGTTTCTCTAAAAGACAAGAAGAGTTTTCTCTATAACCAAACAAACATACGCACCAATGAAACCAAACTTCTCCTATAGGTAGAGCGATGGCCACTTTTGGTGTAGATCAAGATTTCTGGAAACCCCCGAAATCTGGGTTAGCCCGCTTGTCCTTAAAAGCGACCAATTAAGAATGTACATGTATTCAAGTCCATCTTTGATTGGAACAACCGACATAAAAAAACGACTACAAAATTAAAATAACACACCCAAAAAACCCCATCAGGATAAATTATAACTTATGAGTAACATGAAACAAGAATGGAAACATGACAGTGACTATGCTTATGACAGCACATCCAACTATATCGACAGCAATAACAGTAATATGTGAGGCAGCGTGGTGGAATCAGGCTTCTTCAAAATAATAAAAGTGAAGGAACTTGCATTTTCCCCGCAGGTTTATGAATTTTTATGAAATTTTTGGGGTTTTTTGTCTCAACAACTTTCATGCCTATTAAAAAACTCATTTGTGTTGAATTTTTCTGAAAAGCGTTGATTAAAGGCACACAAAAATGTAAATTTTCAGTTACCACGGACTCTTAGGCTAAGGAAATAACTAATCTTTGGCGGCCATTTTCTCACTAATTTTACCTCTGAAATCAGGTGACCCCCACCTCCTTCTGTTGCAAATATCTCGACTTGTATTCAAGGTGAATGGATATTTTTTTCATCAAAATTAAGTCAATTGAGCAAGCTTTAAGATGATACCAATAACACTACATGCCCAAAAATTGACGAGAGCCTGATTCCACCACGCTGCCACACATATAATACAAGCAACAACAGCAAGACACATAACAAAATAATGCACATGATCACAACAACACAGTCACAAAAACAGCAGTGATGACAACCTGAATATTTGAATACCTGGATACCTGGATACCTGGATACCTGGAGGTATCATCTCTGACTCAGAGGTTGACGTGTAATGACCCTCCATCCTTCACGGTCGTCAGCTGCCGTTGCACATTCTGCCATATCCAGGCCAGTCCATGTTCTTATATATAGTCCAGCCATGTAATTCTTTGCCTTCCTATGGCTCTCCTGCCCCACATCTTTCCTTCAAGCATCTCTTTCACAATGGAGGGGGTGTGTGAATCATGTTATTGAAGAAAAGGAATGCTTCTAAAAAGCCATTATGAAGCGAAAAAAAACCCCAAGGAGAATTGTCAAATAAGAATTATTATTTTTTCCTGCAATCTGGAACTCATTCTTTAGCTAGAAAGGAAATGATGCCACCAGTCAGTTGTTACTGAATCTGTAAAGTTGTTCCCGCATCCGGTCCGGACATTGGGGATTGCCTTGTTAGAGAGACAACTTCCTTTGTGGTAGGGTGGGCAGTTCCTTTCCACGCCGCCTTTACTTCCCCAACTCGAAGTCAGGTACCCATTACTGCTGGGTGGGAAGGACGGGGCGAAAAATTCGTGTCGGAACAGAGGCTCGAATCTCTGCTTGACAAATTGTCACGTTTACGAAGAACAATGCAACTGACTCCACGTGGAAACTTGTTGCACTTTGTAAAAGCATTGCATTGGCGTGGGTGGTTGGCGGGTGCTCTGGTGTGGTTTGCTTCTTCTTTCCTATCAAACATCTATCGTCTTCTTCTCTCCTCCTTCTTCTTTTTTGTGTTTGTTACTCTCTTGTAACATCTCTAATCTTCGGCACTTGTATGACCTTATTGTGTTGTAAGTGCCGTAAAACCCTTACTAAGACTAAAACTAAATTGTTTTGGTGGTGGTATTAATGGGGATGATTTTATCTGTATGCGTGCGTGTATTGAGAAGGGGGGGGTGTGTATGTATTGAGGGTGGATTTGTCTCTCTGTGTTTACGTATAAATCTTTTAGTTTCTATGTATGTGTGTATTTGTGGTGAGATTGAATAGCTAATGGGAAGGGAGGGAGGAATGATGATGTGTGTGTGTG